CACTTCTCTAGTGATGTGGTAGCAGAAACAAACACTGTTCATGTGCACCAAGTAAAGTTTTATACAGTTTTTGTCCTGGCACCAGTATAAAAGACTATCCTTTAGTCAGTGGAAGAGCTCTTAGAAGTGCAGACCAGTCATTGCTGAAAGAATAGGGAATGCCATAGTGCCAAAAAAAAAAAAAAAAAAGTAACTAGTAGTTATGTCTTTAGAAGGACAATTTCTTCTCAAAGGCGTTGTAGGAGTTCAGGTCAAAAGATGGCTGGGGGAGTTCTAGAGGAAAATCCTACAAGAAAAAGAGTTAAGAAGGAAAATATTTCCCAGTATTCTTATATTTCAGTGTATCTCAACTAAAGAACAAAAATCTTACTGCTCTTCTTCACTGTTATCAACTGACATTGCCAACTGAGACATTAAACATCCTCCTCCTGCCTTTAATACTGGAATTTAAATGCACTAAGGATCAGCCATGTGCACTCTCAGCTTAGAAACGGACCCTCCTCTCAGGACATTCAAATCAACTAATCAACGCAATAGCAATAAGGCAACACTTGTAAAAACCTAAAACAAGAGCTTTCTCAAGCTGTCTGTAACCACAACAGTTCTATAGCATTAAGACTTTGTTATCTTCTTTAATGCAAGACCATTGTCTACAACAGTTATTTGCCATCTCACTTCCATCTCAGTCAAAAACCACTTCCGCACCCCGACTCCACCCTTCCATCTCAGAATTTATTCCTCTCTCCATTACTATTTAAAATAATTAAGCATACCTTTGAGCTCTATATGCATTTGGAAAATACCTGAAATGACAGATTCCATACAAAATGAAAACTATATTGTTAGACTACAGCTATTAATCCCTTCATTTAAGGCAAGATATTAACATCAATTAAAAAAAAATAGTAGTAGAAGGGCAAAATTTTTGCCTACACACACGTTCCATACAGGCCGTAGTTTGATGAACACTTATTTTTACAACAGTCTAAGTTTCAGTAGCCTTCCTCTGTCCCCAGTAAGCCTTCCCACCTCCACATCATTCCTCTTATTTACGCCAGTGCAATCACTGTGAGTGGCTCCGTGACAAACCGCACCAGGGAACTAACTCATTTGGGTTAAACACCATCTTTTGTTTTAATTCTATTATTTTAACCCAGATCAGTTCCCTGTTCAGTTAGCCACACATGCAGCTGTGCCCACACAAGGAAGGGCACAATGCAAAAGTGGGAGAAAACAGCTGGAACTGCTAAGAAAACATGATTATCACAGCACAGAGTAAGGCTCAGCTGGACACACTCTTAAGTGCAAGTATTTAAAAGCAGAGCAAAAGATGTTATTAGGCTATCAAAACATAAGCATTGCCCATTATTGGTGGGACCAGAAGTCACATCACTGCTGCAGCAAGTAAGCAAAATTACAAACTCTCCACAAAGTACAGCCTGCTACGTGTAAAAGGCCCAGCGTTTCACAAGCTGCAGTGCAGTGTGAAGTTTCCCTTCAGGAGCATGTTCCCAGAAACATTCTGCTTGCACAACCTTTCGCTCTTGTGAAATGTAGAAACCTGTACGCAAAGAGTTGGGCTTACGTTTCCTGTAATTCTCAAGCATTAAAATCAATTCATCCAAGTTACAAGAGGAGAAAGGGTTATCTAGGAATGCTCCCACCCAGCCGTTTATATCCCATCCAACCATCTTAAGACTTCGATTTTCACATTTTGTGAAAAGGAAAGAAACAATGAGCATCCTGTCCAATCACTGCCCAAAACCCATGTTACTAGCTTCAGAACATGATCCACCTTCTCCATTTTTTCTTAATACTACCTTACTGGAAGTCTAGCTTTATTTTTAGACAGAATCTTAGTTAACATACTGAAACTAATATTTACTTTTACCTATGCAATACCTCAGGCCCACAGTTTCCTTGAAAAAAAATAGGGGGATCTCACCGAAAAAAAGCCCTAAATTAGTCAAATTCTTTTGTGCATGGATGAACAACAGGAAAGCAAAGCCTTGGGGCCTCTAGGGAGGAACCCTGTCCCTGCAGACCTACTCTGATGTGCTCGGGAGATAAGGCTCCATAGTGACACTTAAGGAAAGGCCTGCTCACATTTGAATTTCTGCATTCCTCAAGAACAATTCATGGCAATCACTAACTTTGCAGAGGAGCTACATGAAAGCTTTGGCCAATGAATGAGGGTCATCTGCTCTTTATCACAAGGGTAAACCTCATCCTGGCCAGTTTCTAACCTTTTAACCCTGTGAATTCTTAATTTGCACATGAATAATGGAATTCTTGCTAGGAGTGCAACCTTCAGCTTCCAGTTCCTAACTTTAGAAACCAAGACCTGATCTCCTTGTGTGTTCAAATCTTAAACTCTTGGACAGATTAAAGTTTTTGATTTCCAAATGCAACACTAAACATTACAATTCTGAAGCAAAAGATAAGCTTACTGGCAAAAGCTCTGACCGGGCAAAGTAAAAGAACATCCTCGCACCCTGCTGCTACCAGAGACTGAAGAGAGCATTTGCTTTTTTCCTCCAAAGAAAGAATGCCCATTTAATGCCTATTCTCCACCTGTTTAATATGTATAGTTCCTTCTGTACCCTGACCACAAGGTAATTTGCCTTCGTAGCAACTGACAACTTCTTCTAAACAAAATTATAAGCCTACAAAATCCCCCACAAGACTTTAATTTAGTTCACTTCAAACGTCTGCAAAGTTCAATCAACTCATGACAGCAGGCAGAAACACTGTAAAAGTGAGATATAAAACTGATTTTGCATGTGCTTTATGGGCTTCAAAATATAACTATACAAATTACTGCCTTATTTCACAGCTTTACAGTATAGATGACATTCTAAAACCGGTCAGATTGGAATATGACTAAAAAGAAGAGACTGCTACATAGGATAACTTCATGTTTGGCCACTAGTAAACCACTTAATCGCTAAGTCAACAACACCTACTGTGATCATTATGGATCCACTATCTCTTCCAGTTTTCTCCAACAGCCATAGGAAACCTTTCAAGTATTCAAAGATGAAAAAGAAACCTTTTGTCACAGTCTTACAGGGGAGGGGAGGGGAGGGGAAAAAAAAAAAAAAAAAAAAAAAAGGCTGCAAAACAGGAGTCTTACTCCATGGAGTGGAATCTATTGGTTCACAACTCTGGTGAAATAATGTGCATGCCAGAAACAAACATTTATAGAAGTTCAGTACTGTCTGAATAAAACCAGATGCTACAAGTATATTACCACACTGTACTACCATAATGCTCTGTACTATTCCAGAAGTTCTCTAATACTGAGCACAAAGCTCATCCTGCAACGTTTTAAAATGGCCCTGAATTTTCTGTAGTCCCCCACACAGAATCCATCAGCCCCTGCTTCGCTTTATGTTTATTAACAACAAAAAAATTCGTATCCTCTTAAGAAAGGTTTTCTTCAGCCTATTTATTAATGGTGCTGACACTCTGAAACCTAATAATGTGAATTTAAATGTCAACAACATTAATACTTCATTTTTCATCGTTTTATCAAAAGTATCAAAGAACCACTTGGTCCATTGATCCTGTACGCAAGTAAGATGCCATGATACAAAGTAGTAAGTAGCCAGGTTTTTGAAATCGAGAGTTCGCAGATCAGCCTCTTGCAGCATGTGAAAAACTCATCACTTACTGGGAGCCACCTGCTTCCAGGTTGGTTTTCAACTGCCCAATGCTCTAGCTCACTGAACAAGGTATTTCACACCTTCCTGGGGTATCTTATGGACAGTTTTTATCATCACTTCAGAAGCACACAGGAAAAAGCCCTAACAAATGTTAACATTCAGACATTTTTTAATGTAAGCTGATGTACCAATTGTGTTAACTATCTTCAGACTGAATTTGATGAAACTTGCAATTTCCAACATGTCAAGTTTCCACAGAGGTATCAGTGGCAGTTTTGTGCAACTTGCTACTAACAACCGGGTTGAAGAGGTCAAAGGAAGCCTTTTCCTATTAGATTAAGTTCATCAGTTAAGTCCTATTACAGAGGGAACATGAGAAGACTAAGTAAACTGTGTGCTCTCTGTGTTACACTTTCTTTGAAATGACTCCACATACTTTTGGAAAGCAAAAAAGCCAGTGTTGTAGAAGCAGCCTACTAGCAAAGCTCTGCACTGGCATAGAAGAAGGCATAGCGTTCAGTTCCTAACACGCATCCCTTGTGCAATCCATTTAAAAATGCTAGGAAAATGGAGGGCAACACACACTCTCAGGGTCAAACTGTTAAAGCCATAAAGGCGCTTACACACAACTATTTCCTTCACCATTCATCCTGTAGAAGGGAGTCACCTTAGAAATGTGTCTCTCACTTCCTAGTGGAACCACGTAACAGGCTCTTACAGTTGATTCCAGAGGACCCTGAAGCAGTTCCAAGAGGGACAGCACCCGCATCTGCTTGGCTGAACACAGGTGCCAGAAAAGCAAGGGCTTGGTAATTTAACCCTCACGGTTGCCCAGAAAAACTTTCCCCTCCCAAAGACAGCCATCTCCATCTTCGTTCTGCCCTGTCCCAAGACAGCACAAGACAAGCTACTGAACAAGGAATAACAATTTTTTTTTTATCAGATTTGTATATAAGCCTTGCAAGGCTGCCTGAATAGCACTTGAGAAACAAGACCCAGGACTTTTGTAGCAGGTTGCCAGCCTGGCTCTGCATCACCACCTGCTCTGGAGAATGGTGACCCACATGAGCCACCCACATAAGGCACCACTGCCCAAAAGGTCTCATAGGTGGCTGTGCCGCTCCTGCCACATCAGGGACTTGAAAAGGAGCCACCATGAGATTTGCTCATAATCTTTACATGTTTAAAAAGAAACAAAGGTTCTGCAGAATTGACTTTTCTTTACTTTTGTTTCAGGTACACAATCAAAACGATAGGGGTTTTTTGTGCGCTGTTCAGGGAATCGCTGTCACAAACTCAGGAGCAGGTTAATAAACAAGAGCTGGAACTTACTTGCTAGTGTCAGGTGGCTTTTTTGACTGAGAATGGCCCCGTATTTGTTCAGAGCTAAGCACTGGTAAAATCCTTCATCAGACAGCTCTCCTTTCTTTCCTTCCACCTCACTAATATATAATGAGCCATTGGATAAAGTGTAGATCCGTTCATTTTCAGATACTTTGCCTCCGTTTTTCAGCCATGTAATAGTTATAGGAGCTTCACCACGGGCCTGGCAGTCTAAAACCACCGGATCCTTCCTTGAAACAGTAACGTCCTGAGGCTCTTTCACAAAAAACAGTTCACTAAAGCACCACAGTCCTAGGAGAGAGAAAAAAAGATTTTGCCTGTTAAGTATAGGCGTGCAAGTTACCCAGTGCACTTGTGAGCTGCAAGGCACTGTGCTGAACCCACAGCAAGAGGTAAAGCCATCGTTATTACAGGCTCCGAGGTCTCTGAGCCCTCCAAACTCGGAAAACTCTGGGGAAACCCGTGGTACTGACTCCCAGCGGAGTAAAGCCATCAGGCTGTAAAACGCACCGGCGTTCGCCTCCTAGGTTTCAAACACATTGTGTCAAGGAACCAGGGAACCAGAGCCTCAAACGCCTGCGCAGCCCTAACCGGCGCACAGCACGGGAGGCGCTGGGTGTCGAGGGGAG